AATGGTTGAGTGATTTTCTCCACCTTCATTCAGCAGCAAATGTATCAAAGTAAATGCAGTGGGTGGTTGGAAGGTTCCAAGGCTGAGGCTTGGCAGGACATAATGAGAAGGTGGCTAGGTATTGAAGAGGACAGAGTAGAGGACTTCTGTTCTCACTTTCCTTCTCCTTTCTTCTGAATGTATGGCTTGATGACTCTTAAAGCCTTTTTCTTGGTCTTCCTTATATGTGGGGCTCTCTCCTCTTCTCTGGTGGCTGTGGAAGCTGCTCTCACATGGAGCAGAAGCATGGGCTCATCCAGGTGAGTCTGAGACTGGATCTCAAGGCTCTGACAGTCTCTTCTGCATTGCGTTTCTTTTCTTGAACACAGATGACTGAACAGAAATCCTGAGATGGACTTCTTGAGACCTGTGGTTATTTCAGCAGTTCCTAGGTTCCACAGTCAGTCTCAGCTACTCAGTACTACAGAATCTCAGTACTCAGAGAAGATGACCCCCACCAGGAGAATGAGCCCAAGCCATGATACAAATTGCCAGAAAATATGAATGTTGAGGAAGCTTCTCAAGTAGTGAATGCAGAGCTAAGTTGTAGGTGAAATGTTGTTCAGCAGTCCCAAAAATGTTTCATGCTTTGAGGTTTTAAATGCTGTTGTTTGTCCTTGGTTCTTGATATCAGGAAGGTGATGTCATGACTTGCAAGTGAATTGGATCTAAGTGAGGGAGGGCTATGCAAAGTCACCAGCCTCACTTTCTCCTCTGAAACCATCTGGGTCCAATGGCAAGATATAAATCAGGATGACTGGATATGGCCTCTGATGTTTTAAATATCAACCTCTGGAAAGAGTATAATAGGATTTATAGATTACTTTGAAATGATAAAATATTTTGTTAATGTAAGCTTGTGAGTCTTTTGTGTTTTAAGAATTTCTTTTGTGTGTAAGAAATAAATAGCTGTCCTATACATGATCTTCCTCCTACATTGATTCTAGAAAAAACTCTCGATCCCTTTTGGTGAGACCTCAGACTTGAGGCAAACTTAATATTTAAACAATTTGGCACAAAGAGCCAGAGACTACAAGAAAGAACCTGGCCCCTCTCTTTAAAGACCAGGCTTCCCCAAGCTTGAGCTGGGGCCCCTTAGGGGGACAGGCATTTCTATGTCTTTAATAAAACTGAGGCAAATAGAGATTAAGTGACTTGCCCAAGGTCACATAGCTAGGAAGTGTCTGAGGCTGAATTTGAACTTAAGTCTTCCTGAGTCCAGACCCGGCACTCTATCCACTATGCTACCTAGGTCCCTCTCTTGACTCCGTAGATGGCACTCTTCTCTCCTGTAAGGGCTTACACTCCTTGTTTGCTCCTCAGGCAACCGTCTCTCTATATCCTTGTTTGTTCTCTGGTGTGTCTCTGATCCTGGTAGGATGCATTGTCTCCTACTGGTATAGTAGCTCTGCTGTCATGTCCACTGGGGGCCAAAAGGAAGAGAAGGTCCCTTCCACAGGATTCTCTCCCATGAACTGCTCTTGAGATTGGACTTCTCCAACTTTTAAACTTGTAACTACTAAAATCCATCCAGCTATTTAAGGCCCCCAAATATGTGGCTAGTTTGTTTGCTCAGCCAATCTCTGCTGTTCCCTACTTGACCCAATCATAGAAGTTTGAACCCCACCAAGAGATCACAGGGTGTAGACACATTAAAAATTTATCATTTATGACTACATCTGTGATTCTATGGTCAACTGAGCTAGGTAATTGTGGAAGGAGGCATCCCCCTCACTTATATTTTTCTCATCAGTGCCTTGCACAATGCCTGGAACACACAAGGCACTTAATAGATGCTTATCTGATGGATGGTAGAATTAGGCTGGTGTTGGGCTAGTCCTATTTGGTTCTTGACAGACAAAAGTAAGGGGATTGTGAATTGCCATCAACACTCTCCTTTACAAATGTGTAAAATCTTATAGAATGAGAGGAGGAGGTTGAGAGACAGAGTGGGCTCAAACCTTCCTAATGACTTCAGAAAGGGCTGGAAAAGTGGAGAACACCCTAATCATTCTTCTATCATCCTAGTCAACATTTATTAAGCATAGTCTGTGTGCTGCACACTATGAAGCCAGGGTGGGGAGGAAAAGGATTCCAGGGACTGAGGACAGACAGTGAAAAGGCCCAGAGATGGAGGGTCATTTGTGAAGAACAGCAACACCAATGTCACTGGATGGTAGAGTATCTAGAGGAGTGTAAAGTATAAAAAAACTGGAAAAGTAGGAGAGGGACTGGTTGTGAAGGGTCAAAGAGATGACACATACACACACACATGCACATATGTTTACATGCGTGTGCATACATGTATACAAATACATGCATGCACATACATGTCTGTGTATACACACATATGTCCCAGAGGTAATAGGGAGAGAATGAAGTTTATTGAGTAGGGGAGTGACACGGTCAGATCTGTGCTTTAGTAAAATCACCTTGGCAATTGGGTGGAGGATGCATTAAAGACTTAAGGCAGGGAAAGCAATTAGAAGACTATTCAAGAAGAAAGGTGGTGAAGGTCTCCATGAGTGGAGAGAAGGAGATGTATATCAGAGATAAGAAAGAAGAAATTACAAGAGTTGGCCACAAATTGGATAAATGGAGTAAGAGAGAACGATGACAACAAGGTTGTAAACCTGGGTGACTGGGAGCTAGTGATGTCCTTAACACTAATAGAAAAATTTGGAAGAATGGAAGTTTTTGAGGAAAGATAATGTTCTATTATGGATGTATTGAATTTGATGTGCCTACAGGATAGCCAATTTGAGATGCCCAAAGGCAATTGGTGATGTGAGAGTGGAAGTCAGGGTAGGGGAAGGTTGTTTTTGTAGTTGAGTCATTTTTAGTTGTGCCTGACTCTTCATGACCCCATTTGGGGTTTTCTTGGCAAACATACGGGAGTGGTTTGCCATTTCCTTCTCCAGCTCATTTTACAGACAAGGAAACCAAGGCAAATAAGGTTAAGTGACTTGCCCAGGGTCACACAGCTAGTAAATGTCTGAGGCAAGATTTGAACTGAGGAAGATGAGTCTTCCAGATTCCAGGACTGTCATTCTATCCACTGTACCACTTAGCTGCCTGAGGGGGAGGTTAGGACTGAGATCTGAGAATCATTTGCATAAAGATCATGATTGGACCCACCAGACAAGAGAATATAGAGAGAAGAAACAAGGACCAAGGACAGATGCTTGGAGGACATCCAGAGCCTCTTCAGGCTTTGCTTCTTAACCTCTGGGATTCCTCACCATGCTCCTGTCTGGGGACCTTCACTGTTCTCCCTCACCTTTGCTTTTTAGCTCCATTTTATGTGTTGTCTTCTCCCACTAGAATGCAAGTTTCTTGACTGTCTTTGTATCCACAGCATTTAGCACAATGCCTGGCACACAGTAAGCACTTAATAAATGCTTGTTGAGTGATTGATTGGATGAAGATTGAGCAAAGGAGACTAAGACAGAGCAGCCAGAAGGGTAGACATATAACCAGGAGAAAGCAGTTGTCAGGAAAACCTAGAGAAGAGAGTATATCTGGGAGAAGAGGGTAATTGATAGTGTCAGAGGTTTCACAGAGGTCAAGAATGAGAATTGAGAAAAGTTCATTGGTGACTCAGAGAAGACAGTTTCAATTGAATGATGAGGTCACATTTCATCTCTTCTCTCAGGCTCATTCTCAATTCTTCACTAACCCAAACATCTCTCATTTCTAAGTCTTCTTCCATCCAAATCCTTTCCTAAGTGGCACAGTGGATGATGGTCTACTAGGCCTGAAGTCAGGGAGACCTGAGTTCAAATCCAGCCTCAGATACTTGCTATCTATGTGACCTTGAACAAATCATTTAACCTCTGCTTGTCTCACTTTTCCCAGCTTTAAGAGGGATTGCCATAGCATCTACCTTCCAGGCTTGTGGTGAGGGTCAAATGAGATAATATTTGTAAAAATGCCTGGCAAACAGTAAGTATTTGAATTCCTTCTCTCCCTCCCCATACCACCAAGCTCCCCTTTTTCATTTAAGGAATTCTCAAATTGCCACCTTAAAGAAGTGTTCCTTGCCTAATTGAAAAACTATTTAGTGATTTCTTAGTCTTTCCTTGCATAAACATATAAATTTCAAGATCTTCAACTATAGAATCTGCAATTACTTTTTTACTTACACCTAATATTTATGCTAAAACTTTCTTTGAATAAAGAACTTGTGCACATATTCAGTACTTGTTCTGTTGTTTATATGTTTTTGGTATTGTTGTTTTTGTTGTTGTTGAGTCATTTCAGTTGTGCCTGACTCTTTGTGACCCCATTTGACATTTTCTTGGCAAAGATATTGGAGCGGTTTGTCATATCCTTCGCCAGCTCATTTTACAGATGAGGAACTGAGACAAACTGGGTTAAGTGACTTGCCCAGGGTCCAGCTAGCAAGTATCTGAAGCCACATTTGAACTCAGGAAGATGAGTATTCCTGACTTCAGGCCTGGCACTCTATCCACTGTGCCACTTACCTGCCCATTCTATAATATAGACAGCGCCACATCTCATCTTCCATCTTTACAACAAAGTATCTCAAGAGGCAATTTTAGAAATTATCCTAGTGATGTGAATTCAGGTAGGGGTAGGTAAAGAGAATGGGCTGTAGAGAAAGAGAAACACAGAGATGATATGTGCTTTGTGGACACATGTAGACCCACCAGGGAGAGCTCCCTTTCCTCCAGGCAAGTACATAGGCAACTGGGATCATCTACAAGAGTGTGGACACACACAGACACAAACACAGACACAGACACACATACACACATTCACACTCTGAGCTGGGAAATCACTCATGTGGAGGTAGTTGGTTGGTAGCTGTGGGAAGGAGGTGGGGCAGGAGGGCGGAATGTGGGTTGGGCAAAGTTTAGAATTACAGTGCAGCAGAGGCGTTCTCAGCCCATACTTTAAATAGCCAGCACCTTACCCCTTGGATTCTTCTTCTCCCCCTTAGCTGGACCCCTGGCAACTCCTTCCTTAAGGTCTGTAACATTTCCTTATTTGTTTCTCTCTCTCTCTCTCTCTCTCTCTCTCTCTCTCTCTCTCTCTCTCTCTCTCTTCTCTCTCTCTCTCTCTCTCTCTCTCTCTCTCTCTCTCTCTCTCTCTCTCTCTCTCTCACATTCTGGAGAGTAGGTTCTGGTCTTCAGGTTCTTGAGTTCATCCAAAATCAGATTTTTTTCTCTTAAAAAAAAAGAGGTAGAAAAAAATAATTTGTGGGAATGTGTATGAAAACATATGATGTCTCCTTCCTTCCTCTAAATATATTTTCCCCTCAGATATATTACATATATACACACATACATATATATACACACATACATATATGTATATATATGCACACACATATGCATATATGTATATGTATGCACACATATACACGTGTGTGTGTGTGTGTGTGTGTGTGTGTGTGTGTGTATCTTTTTATGACTGCTTGATTTGGGGACAATGTGATTTGGTAGACAAGAACTCCAAAGTGAGGTGACAGTACATGAGTTCTTTTACCAAGTGATTAAGGGTTGCCTGATTCCTGGCCCTGAAGTCTGGATCTCTTCTAGGAAATGGAGCAATGGTTGGCTCCAGGTAGGAGTGAGAGCTTTGGAAAATCTCTGCAGCAAGTCATCTTTACAGACCCATGAAGGGGTTGCTTTACTGGAGAGAAGCTAGCAAGTGGTGGGAACAGTATTTTTTTCTGTGCCTGAGAAAAGTCCATCAGGAAGAGAGGGAAAGGAAAAAAAACAGCCAAGAGAGCTTTCACACACAAGTACTTGAAGAGGGCCAAAGTACTCATTCCTTCCTAATCTCCCCATAATCACCTGAACCCCTTCCTTTTATTCCTAAGCTGTATTGACTATCGGGCATGGCTCTTGTCTCTGTCCAGATGAACACTGCTAGCTTCCTTGGTCCTAATAGTAGGTCGGTATATTGTAGGGCCAGCAGAGATACTGGAAGGCCTCTGGGTGTAGAAAAATATGTATTGTCCTTTTTCTCCTGTTCTCTCTGCCTTTGAGATACTGCTGGGCAGAATTAATAAAATCCTCAGTTGATAATTATAATTAGGGGCCCCCAAGTATATAGCCATAGTAGGGCTGGGGCTGGAGAAAAGGACATTTCTGAGTGCTTATCTCCAGGTGCTTCAGGTATAATCTAGAAGCTCTCATACCTTTTTTTTTAAACTTGTTCTGGGGGACCCAGTGGTCCCTCTTTGGCAAAGATGTGGTAGAGAAGGGAAATGGTACACATTTTTGTACATCTTAGAAACTTTGATAGGCCCTTATTGGCCTTTATAAATAGAGTCTAGGAATCAGCTATCCCTTGAATGCATCTAAACTGGAGGATCTCAAATTCTTTTCATTCTCCCCCTTATTTCCCAACAATGCTTTTTATTTCTCATCACATTCATCTCTTTCCCCCACCCCCTCTCATGGAGCAAAAAAAAAAAAAGACTGGTGCTTATGTCACTTTTAGTATTGAACTACATCTTAGCAACTGAGAGACATGAAGAGACCAATCACCATGCTTATTTATATAACCCTTATTACATCAAGAGGATTGTACTTTCAGGAGCTAGGATCTCCTCTAGTTTCTTCCTTGTCACTGGGTAAGGATTAGAGAAACACAAGGTTGGCGCCTTCCAGGTTAATAAGGACAAAATCCTCTACTGATCTAGGCATAAAATCATGAAATAACAGAATTTCAGAGTTGGAAGAGATCTCAGAAGACATATGTCCCTGAATTAGGATCTTCTCTACAACGTACCTGACAAGTAGTCATCCAAACTCCTCTTGAAGACCTTTAGTGAAGGGGAATGCACAATCTACTGAGGCAGCCCCTTCTACTTTTGAACTACTGTGCTGGTTAGGAAGTTTTTTTTTTCCTGACATTAATTCTATATCCATCCCTGTACAACTTGAACCCACAGCCTTCTGGGGCCAAGCAAAACAAATGCAATAACTATAATAATAAGAAGAAGCATTTTATAGCACTTTAAATTTTGCAAACTGCTATACAAATTCTGTCTCATTTGATCTTCATAACACCCTGTGGGGAAAGGTGCTGTTATTATCCTCATTTTATAGGTGAGAAAGCTGAGCCTGAGAGGTTAAGTAAATTCCTGAGGTGGGATTTGAACTTAGTTCTTCCTGGCATTCTTACCCACTGTGCCACCCACTCACTGCCCACATGACAGCTATTCAAATACTTGAAGGATGTTATCATACTCCCCTACCCAAGCCTTCTCTTTTCTAAGTTAAACACCTCCCAGTTCTTTCAAACAATTGTTTTATGATATAATCTTTAGGCCCTCCATAGTCCTGTTTACTCAACTCTGGATGCTATTTATCTTATCAATGGCCTTCCTAGAATGTGGCTTCCAGAATGGAAAACATCAGTGATAGCACAACTCTCCCCATTTTACAAGATCTAGCAGGCTAGTTGTATTGAAAGTAGAACCTAAACAACTCCTGTGGTTATGTGATTATTTCCCCCCTTCACATACCCTGCATAATCCATGGGAATCTGTGGGGAACTCAGTCTGGGCTTTTGGGTTTAATGAAAGCCTTCTAGCAGGAAGAAAGGGTTACCAGTAGAGAGAATCTGGGGGTATAGATTGAGTTGGTCTCAGCAACTGGAGCTTTTAGGTGTTTCTCAGTAGGAGATGCTATGGAAGAATTGACCACTGGGGTAGAATTCCTTCCTTCCTTCCTTCCTTCCTTCCTTCCTTCCTTCCTTCCTTCCTTCCTTCCTTCCTTCCTTCCTTCCTTCCTTCCTTTTTTTCTTTCTTTCCTTCCTTTCTAGGGGGGTTTCATTTCCAGGGGTTTCCTACCAATAACAAGACTTCCTATCTCTATTCCAGGTGGGATGGATAACAGGGTCCCTGGTGCAACCAGCAATGGAAAGACAATACCAACTTATTCAGTTGTGGAAAAGGAGAAAGAGAAGGAGGAAGAGGAAGGCACACTAGAGCGGGGTCACTGGAACAACAAGTTGGAATATGTACTGTCTGTAGCTGGGGAAATCATTGGGCTGGGCAATGTCTGGAGGTTCCCCTATCTCTGCTACAAGAATGGGGGAGGTGAGCACTCACTGGCTCCCACCAGGAGGGGAAACTGTTTCTATCTTCTATACTCAATGATTCCTTGGGTGTCTTAAAGTATTGAGAGTCCTCGTACTTTTTCTTGTACCTTTCCCTGATCTACTGAGCCACCTCTAACATTATGACCTTTAGACCTGGGAATTCTTGTTTCCTAGAGATAGCCAGTGCAAATCGGGGAATGGGGAGTATAATCCTAGACTCTGTTTCTCTAGAGTATTCATGCTGGTTGGGTGTTTCTCCCTCTCAGAAGTATAATTAGATTGGGGCAATGGGGGCTTTGTTCTTTGATGAACTGTAGAGGGGCTGAAAACAGCACTCTCAGCCCTTCAGAAGCATAGAAATAACTGATTTTAGTATTTTTTTCTGTCTGGAACAGACTTGTGATTTTATTGTTTTTTTTATTTTATTAAGGGAATGATTTTATTAAGGGAACTGTTAGTGAGAATAAGCCAGGGCTCTGCAATTTAGAAAGCTGCCTGGGGCATTTAGAGGTTAAGTGGCTTGCCTAGGCTCATATAGTCAGTATGTGTCAGAGGTGGACTTGAACTTAGGTCTTCTTAATTCTGAGGCTGGCTGCTTGTGATGTTGGCTCTCTGCACTTAGCAAAAGTAATTAAAGGGGCCTGAGGAATTGTGGTATCTTAGGACATCTGTAGTGTCTTGGGGCATTCTCTTCACCTAAATTAGTGTGCATATCACAAAAATTATGGCTCTGCTCTTCCCCCTTTAAAAAAAGCCACACAACTTTTAACTGTTTTATTGATGCCTTTTGTTATCACATAGCAGTGATTTCTAGGGGGGGGGGGAAACCTTTCTAGCTTCCCATTTAATAAAGAAAAACAGTTAAGCAAAGACACTTGATATAGTGGATGCATTTGATATTGTATACCATATTTTGACCCAGTAGTCTCCCACTTATCTGCTGTGAGAAGGGAGGTGGGTATATTTCATTGTCTGTTCTCCAGGATCTTCATTTGTTTCTCAATTACTTAGAATTTGGCTTCCTCTTTGGTGATTTTTTTACATTTACATTATCATAGTTGGGCATGCTATTCTTTTGTTTTTCCATTATATGCATTTGTTTCACTCTGCATTCATTCATGCTATCTTCCTGTTTCTCTATATTTCTCAGATTCATTTCTAATTGCACAATACAATTTGATAACATTAATATACTACATTTTTCCCAGCTATTCCTGAATCAATGAGCACCCATTTTCTTTCTAGGTTTGGATTTTGTTTTTGGCCTTGCTGTCAATTACATTGTTGTAGTCATTGCTCTTTGATTTCCTTGCTCTTCTTACTTCACTATACATCAACTCAAATATGTCTTTTCATGCTTCTCTGTTGGCTTCTTACAGAGTAGTGGCATTTCATTTTATCCATTTTGAACCTTCATTTGTTGGATCTTCATTTCTGTCTCTTACCCCCATGGGGTCAAAAAGCATGTGTAGTTTAGTCATGTTTCTTACAGGATTCCAAATTGATATCCAGAATGGTTTAACGTATCGACAATGCCACTAACAATGCATTAGTATGCCTGTCTTTCCACAGCCCCACCAACATTAACAGCTCCCAGTTTTTTCTTACCTTTGCAAATGTACTAAGTCTTAAGTGATCCTCAGAGTAGGTTAAAAAAATTAATCCAATACATTGACTCTAAAAAATTGTAAATATATATATATATATATATATATATATATATATATATATATTTTTTTTTTTTTTTTCAGATCACCTTCTTTTCCTAATGTTTCCTTTCCCCTCTCCTCTACTTAGTGGGTCATATTTTGTAACAAAGAATAAAAGCAAAGTTGGAGGGGGGGAGTAGTTAAGTAACACTAACCAACAGATCTACTGAGTTTGACAATGTACATAACACTCCATGCTCATTGTGTCCTCCTTTTTAAACAAGGGAGAGAGGTACATTGTTTCCTCTCCTATTTGGGACCGAGTTTGATTGTTATAATTTGTTTCTTTTTTTCTTCCTTTCCATTATTGTGGTTATTGTGTATATCATTTTCCTTGCTATGACTCACTTCACTTCAGTTTGTATATTTCCTCACATTCCCTATATTCTTCATGTTCAGTTTCTTATAGCATGGCAATATTTTATTACATTTATGTAATCCATTTGTTTAGCTCTTCCCTAATCAATGAGCATCAACTTTGCTTCCAGGATTTTGCTGCTACAAAAAGTAATGCTATGAATATATTGGTGTATACCTTTCTTTCTATCCTTGACCTCCTTGGGGTATAGGTCAAGCAATAGGATCTCTGGGTCAAAGGATAATAGACAGTTTAGTCATGTTACTTGCAACATTCTTAATTGATAACCAGAGCAGTTAGACTAACTCACAACATCACCAGAACTATGTTAGGGTACCTGTCTTCCCATGGTCCTGACAACATTGACTATTCCCATTTTTTAATCTTATTCAATGTATAGACTGTGATGTGAAACTTCAGTGTTGTTACAATTTGCATTCATCTTATGATTAGTAACTTGAAGCATGTTTTCAAATGGTTGCTTAGAGTTTGCAATCCTTATTTAGAAAACCGTTCAGATCACTTTTCTATTGGGGAAAGGCTTTTGCTGTTATATGTTAGCATCAATTTCTTATGTACCTTGGAGATCAGATGATCTCTCATGTAAAAAATTATTCCATTTGACAATTTGTCTTCAGTCTTCATTGGTTTGGTTTGTGCAATAACTTCCATTTTATGTAATCAAAATTGTCTGTTTTGTTTTTCATAATCTCTATCCATGGTTTGTTTAAAAATTCTATACTTTCTGGCTCTTATAGAAATCTTATAGATTATGATGTTATGTTATGTTATGTTATATGTTATGTTATATTATGTCTTATAGAAGCTCTTACAGAAATCCTGAATAATGAAAAGAGGTTTCAGTATAGCTCTTTTTGACTCCTGCCTCTCTCTTTCATGTGGTGCCCTAGTTTAGCCCTAAAGGAGAAGCATGGATACCTGGGTTGACTATCAGGCTTAATAGGCCATGCAAATTCACAGGTTACCATGTAGAGGTCAAGTGGGGAAGGGTTCAAAGCAAGGCTTGTGTAATCTCCCTGAGTTAGAATTGTTTGGAGAGGGCATGGATGGAGGAGAGACAGAAATAATAGATGGAATTCAGTGGGTTATTCCATAGAATACAAGGGCTCAAATATCCTCTGGTGGCACTCATAGCCTGCCATAGGCAGAGCTGCCAGACCAGACTAATGAAGTCTGTTATATTTCTCTTTCTTAGTGACTTAGAAGTAGACTATAGCTAGAATTAGTGTATTTGACCTGGTGTGTTTCCTGGTGTGTACCTCCAAACACTTAGTGCTTGAGGTTGTGAAAGATGTATAGAGTAGGTACAATATGGATAAGAGGGATTAGGTACAATATGGATAAGAGGTACAGGAGGGGATCAGCCTCTTTGTGGAATTAGGCATTTGTTTCAAGGCCTGTAGGCTGACTGACACTTTTGCAAAGGGATAGACAGAAGCCTTTGGGTCTGGGATCATGGGTAGTATTCTAGTTTTTTTTTTCTCCTCGAAGTCTTCCTTCATGCTGCACCCTGTACCTAGAGGACCATTATGACTTTGTCAGGGGGAACCTGGCTTAAGCATCTCAGCTGCTGAAATTGTACTGGGAGTCTGGAGGATTTAGTTGGAGCTCAGGAACCTTTGAGATTGAATAACCGGCTTACCTCCTCACATTGGCAGAAAGAGGATTAGGAGGTGGAGCTGATTTCCTCAAGCCTCTTTGGAATTGGGTGATCTTTGGCCTAGGGATTGGCAGGAATGGGGTGAAAAAAGGGAAGAAAGTACAGAATGAACCCATTTGCCTTGGAATATTTGGGTCCAAGTTAGAATTCCCTGTGAATCATGGGGTAGAAACATAGGGACAACCTTTGGAAAAGTAGGATTTGGGAAATATTACTGAAATTCTGGGCCTCTGGGCAACTGGTCTTTGACTCTGTATTTAGAAGTTCCTTGCTGAAGTCCCTCAGTCCCAAACTAAAAAGGTTGGTCTGATGGGCTGATCAGAGATAGACCTCTTGTCAAGATTTACTCTAAAAACTTTGATTCATAGGACCATAGGTGAGCAAGGAGAGTGGCTTCCTCATTTTGGGGCATGGATTTCTGCTATTAGAGAGCCTGGACAAGCCTACTTGTTTGTCTGCTTTTATCGCCCAGCCAACTGATTCCCTGCCCCACTCCAAGTATATCCAACTTCCCCTGGAAGCCTACCACCTGATAGAGTGATATCTCACTGTGGGAAGTATACAGAACCATTCTTCATTCTTTGGTCACCCTGGTCTACCTAGAAAGAGGGATGCCTCCATATAAGAAAACTTTGTGTTATACAATTGGGAGGCAATGGAGTGAGTGAACTTACTTGATTATCTATTTTGTTTCCTATAAATCTTTTTGAGTCTTCCAGAGTCACTGCAGAATAATTCTTAACAATCATGGAAATTGGTATTGTAGAGTTCTGAAAATGTTACCAAACTGTATTCTATGTGAAAGGGCTATGTCTACTTTGATACCCTTTCCCTGCCTTCCCAGACTTAAACATCTGCTGCTACATGAAGGAAAAAAGATGAGCTATAGACTTAAAAAACAAGTTTTTCTTGGCAGTGAGTTGGTAAGTATTTGGGTGGGGGAGTTCTCAGGAGATTGGAAAACTTCAAGAACTGCTATTCGAATACTACACTAAAAAAACCCAAAACCCCAAAACCTAAGACTCTCTGTGCATATATTACCATGGGGCTGTATATCAGTATTTCAGTTTTCCTGTTTATTTTTTAGTTTGCACAAGTCACTCTCCCTCTCTGTGCTCCTTCGTTCCTCCCTAGATCCCCACCCTGATGAAATGGTTACTGATGACTAGTATTGACTGCTAAGCCTCTTGCCTGTTCAACCACATAGGACAAAATTATCTGTATACAGAGCCTTTTGGTTTTATGTACATAGTTGAAGGTACACAGGATGGTCACAGGAGACAAAATTTTTCTTTGTACATCATTCTCCCCTTGGTAGTACTATCTTCCATCTTCCTTCCCAACTCCCACCCCCAAGGAGGTGAAAGAATGAGATCCAAATGATCTTAGGTCCTTGAAATCCTTCTCAGGGAGAAAGGAGAATCCTGGAGAAGAATGGTTGATTAGGTTGGAAATAATAATAGCTCATGCTTAGAAAGTTTACAAAGTTCTGCTTTCTTCACAACCATCCTATGAGGTATAGGTAGCACAAATATTTTTATATCCATTTGACAGATTAGGAAATAGGAACACATTGGTATTGTGTCTAGGCTGGGGTCACCCAGCAATTAAATGTCAGGGATGGGATTCCAACCGTGGTCCATAAACTCCAAATCCAGTGCTTTTTTTATACTCCCTGAAAAATGACTCTTTGACAGAAATCAGGTTGATATTGAAAGTGTTTTCTCAGGTCTAATTTCATTCAGGGGATTGGGACTTCTGGGGTGAGGGCTTTGAGATCAGAGCAAAGCCTCAGGAGTCATGGCCTCTAGCCAGCTCAGTTGGAGGGACATGTGACTGGGGAATGGGGTACCTGACCTAGAAAACTAGGTGAAGTGGTTTTGCAGTTGACTCTCTGTCCCATAGCCCACCCTCCCTGTCCCTGCCTTAATGTGCTGATAGACACAGACAGATAGACAGAGAGACAGACAGATAGATAGTAAATGTGTTTCTACAGTAGAGTTGGGATTTCTGGGGGACCTGAGAGTTCTGAGAAAGTCATGGAAACTTGTTTGTAGAACTCCAACTTGAAGTGTGGCCTTGTTGTTTTGCTCTCATTCATCTTCTTTGGATTACCCCTAAGAGATTTATATAATTTAAGAGATAGATAGGACACTGGCAACCCTATCTCTCAAGAGGAGTATTTCCCTTAGTAAAGAGAGTCAGTTGTGGGACTCTTTTCTTACATGATGGTGATGGTGGTGGTGATGGTGGTGGTGGTGGTGGGGTGTGTGTGTGTGTGTGTGTGTGTGTGTGTGTGTGTGTGTGTGCGTGTGCGTGTGTGTGTGTGTGTGTGTGTGTGTGTGTGTGTGTGTGTGTATCTCCTGCCACCTAGGAAAGATTGCCTAAAGTTTTAGGGTAAGGGAAAGGATGTTTCACATAGTGGGTAATGTGTATCTTAGAGATGAGGTGTCTGTGGGAATCTCACTTCTGTCCCTGAGTCAACTCTGCTTCCTGTTAGAAATTATCTTGGTGACATTTCCCTGAAGTCTTTCAAAGGCAGGGTACCTCAAGAGAAAGAGGATAGGTGCTCCATCACCTACTGGACTCTATTCTACCTTTGTCATCCCTTCCTCTATCTTTGCCTTGCTCTACTCACCAGGTTTAGACTTTGGCCTTTCCAGCATGCTGTTGGGCAGCTCTTTCAAGAGGCTAAGGAGGAGGGAAGCAGAGCAGGGCTGTAAGGTTAAATATTGTCCTGACTTCTTGAGAAAGAATCCAGAGTGGAAAAGATGGAGAGGGGGAGGGACTGGGACTAAGCCAGTGATTCTCTCTGTATATTGTACTGTTTGAGAACCCTAGACAATATGGTCAGTCTTACCCCTGCTAGACTGACTGGCACTATTAGGCATTTGTTTTCCCCTTCTCTACTCCTCCTCCTCAACCCAGCTTTGATTGACTTGTGGACATACAGCACTTAGAAAGTACTTTTTGTTTCTTGGTCTCCGGAAGGAGAGCGTTGGCGGTTCTCCCTCCTAGAGCCTGCGTTAGGGATGTACAGTAGGAATTACAGATTTAGGGTAAGAAGTAAGAACTATAGAACCTTGTTTTTTTGGGACTTTGACACTTTGTGTTTATTGGTCTTATAGAACACACACTCTTTGGTCAAATTCCTCTTGTTCCCTACTAGTAGGCTGAACCTGTGAGTTCATAGGTATGGGGAACTTCCAGATGAGAAAGTGCCCTTGACCAATAGCAGGTCTGAGTCTTCTTGACATTTTATAATCATCAGTAGCACTTTGTACCAGGTGCTGGAAATGAAAAGAAAGGCAAAAGACTGTTCCTGTTCTCAGGAAACTTACAATCTAATGAGAGAGACAACATGCAAATAGCAAATATACAAACAAGATAGATCAGTTGGAGACAATCCATAGAAGGAAAGCACTGGCATTAAAAGAGATCAGAAAAAGTTTCTTACAGATGGTGAGATTTTAACTGAGACTTGCAGAAAACCAGTGAAGCCAGGGGGCAGAGAGGAGAAGGAAGGGCATCCCAGATATGGATGACAATAAATGAAAATGCTGGGAGTCAGGAGATGGAGGGACTAGTTCAATGGACAAAAGAAGACCAGTGTTACTGGATCTAAAAGTCCATAGTGGTGGTGGTAGTGGGGTGGATTTAAGGAGTAAAAAAATCAGAAAGATAGGAAGGGGTCAGGTTATGGAGGGTTCTGGGGCACTAGGTTAAATGACTTGCTCAGGGTCACACTGTGTGTGTCAGAGGTGGAACTTCAAACCAACTCTTTCTGATTTTGAGGCCAGTTTTCTTATGAATATATTGAATTAATTCTTAACAGTATATGGACTAGATTCTAATGAGGGATGGGGACTTGCCTTTCTTCTGTGGTCACATTTCCTGGGGTAGTAGCAGCACAAAGACTGAAGGAAAGTGATTTCTTGGGAAAACTTTTGTCTGCTGGTAAGATACTAGAAGCATTGTGTTCTTATTTTTTTATTGTACCAGTTCTCTTTTCCTGCTTCCAAGCCACCCCATCCCCCATTCCCATGCCAGCAGGTAGAAAAATAACTGTTTCTGGTCTCAGGATATTTGTCACATCCAATACTCATGGCGAAAAGAGGATTGGAATTCCAGCCACTGAAGGCAGCAGCAACCCTTGAAAGGGGTCACAAATTGTAGGTTGTGCTAAATTTACCCTGGCTTGAATTATTTGATGCCTTGGTTTAAGTAAGGGTTAGTACTTGTTGGGGAAAAAAAAACCTTGGTAGGGGTAGACTGACTTTTCACAGTGCAAAAACCCACAGGATTGAAAGGGGAGTAGCTGCCTTGTTCTCTCCCACGATGCCAGTTCCCTGTGTTAGAACTATGTGCAAATTAGCTCCCATTCACACTGAGGGATGATTGTGTTCTGCCTGTCTTGGGTTGAAGGTAGGTAGCTGGGGGTGGTATGGGGGCTGTGGGAGGAAAAGTTGCTGTGAAAAATGGGTTGCAAGGTCCACAGACCACAAATGGGAGTTCAGAACAGCAAGGTCTAGGGTGATGGGAGAGGGTAATGAAGAGATTGGAGACAGTACAAAGTATAAGATACACGTTTTCCCCAACTCATCCCCTACAGGTGCCTTTTTCATACCCTACCTCATCTTCCTCTTCACCTGCGGCATTCCTGTTTTCCTCCTGGAGACAGCACTGGGTCAGTATACCAGCCAGGGGGGTGTCACAGCCTGGAGAAAGATCTGCCCCATCTTTGAGGGTAAGTACCTAGAGTCCAACTCCAGGGTATGAGCATTGGTGGTTGTAAATCTGGTCTGGGAAAATTGGGATGATTAGAAAGAATGTCAAGGTCAAGAAGGGGTGAATATTTCCATTTGAAACTCAGACAGTTGATTTTGTAAATGGGACTGACTTTGCTTTACAGGGGAGCAAGGAAGTAGACATTAAGAACAAAGGAGTAGGGATAATGGAGTAAGGGATACAGAGACTGTGTCATTTACTTTCTGTTTACATTCAAGTCATGTACAAACCTGTATGGACTTATTTCCTGGGTGTGTAATATAATGCTGCAACTTGCAAATGCTAACAATAATTGTGAATTGGTGGACAAGGGAATATCTTAGGGGCAAGAGCAGCTGGAAAGATATGCTGAGGGAAAAACAATAAAGCAAAAGTCATGCTTATGAACAAAAGGAACAAAGGAACTGATTTTTGGAGGATGAGACAGGAATGGAAAGGAGCAGTAGCTCAGGTAGCAAAACTTAGCACTAGGAAGCAAAACTTTCTTCAGTGTAGGGTTGGGAGGAGGATGGATCTTCTTATGCTCCTGATCTCATTGTGAGGGGAAGTGGAAAGACCATTGACTATGCAGGTGGAGAAGTTAGATTTGACTTTTCCTTTGGCTACCTACTACTTTAGATGAGTCACTTGGGGGTGGGTGAATTGGATGCTTGTTTCATTTCAGGTCTATTCCTTTGTCTTCTTTGTGCTCTGCTCCCCAGGCATTGGTTATGCCTCCCAGGTGATTGTCATCCTCCTTAACTTCTACTACATCATTGTTCTGGCCTGGGCCTTCTTCTACCTCTTCAGTTCCTTTACCATCGACCTTCCCTGGGGCAGCTGTGACCACGAGTGGAACACAGGTAATGCCATCTCTCCTATACAAGCTACCTCTTGTCCTCTCTTCTCTCTCCCGAAGGGCTGCCCATAGCAAATCCCATTCACATTCTCTTGGGTAGGAACTGGACTGGGCCATATGATTGACTGGTGGAACTAGGGATTCTTAGTTTGGTGAATTAAAGACTGAAGGGGTGGGATGGATTAATGTTAGTGGAAGGGCAGAACACCAGACAGCTATGTTCAAGCATTTGGAGCGCTATTGTGTGGAAAGGGGATTAGATTTGTTTTGTCTAACCCCTGGGAGTCACAAAGAGGAGGATTTTGGCTTAAAATAAGGGGGAAAATTCCCAACAATTAGAGCTATAACTAAGTGGAATGGGCTGCCACTGGAAATAAAGAGTTTTCTATCACCAGAGCTATTTAAGCAAAGGAAGGATGACCGATTGTCGTTTATGTTGGGGGGAGGGGCTTTTAAAGTATTTATTTATTTTTATAAGCATTTATTATCTCTCCCTCTCATTACCTTCCCCCACTGAACAATTAGAGAAAATAATACCCTCATAATAAGTATGCAGTCCATCGAAACAAATTTTTTAATTGGCCATGTCTAAAAATAGATGCCTCATTCTGCATTTTAAGTCAATCACTTCTCTGGCAGGAGGTGAATGCTATGTTTCATCCTTTCATTGATCAGAGTTCTAAAATCTTCCAAAGTTGTTTTTCTATGTAGTGTATAATTATATACATAGTATGTATGTCATAGTTAAATTGTTCTATTCCTTCTGCTCATTTCACTCTGTATCAGTTCAGAGAGGTCTTCCTGGTTTCATTTGAAACAGTTCATTTTGTCATTTCTTAAGGACACAGTAATACTCCATTACATTCATGTACCACAGTTTGTTCAGTCATTCCCCATTAGGTGGGTACCTTGTAAGGCAGCTTCTTATATGGATTGGATGAGATAACCTATTAAGTCCTGTCCAGCTCTGAGATTCTGTTCCCAAAGGGGATCTAGCCACTGATGTTAGACAAAAGTTAGACAAAAGTTACCAGCTGTGTATGACACTGTACCTAGTACTGGGGCAGGTAGTTTCAGGTAGACAGGAGAGAATACTGGGAAAAAAGCATTTAACCGAGTCTGAGATTCAGGATTCTAACCTTTGTCTCCTAAAGGAGCCAGGGTGATGAAGTAAAGAGAACATTGGCTGTGGAGTCAGTCAGAGAAGCTGGTTCAAATCCTACCTCTGATCTTTACAACTTTGGTTTGTAAAGTGGCCTTGGTTTCCTCAAAATGAGGAGGTTAGATTAGGTAGCCTCTAAAATGCCTTCCAATCCTGTGGTCTGTGACCTAGCTACAAAGACCTTAAGCAAGTCTCTTCATTTCCTTGGGCCTCAATGTCTTCATTCCTAAAAGCAAGCCCCAAAACAAAACCCCAAACAAATAAATAAACAAAAAACCCTAGGGATAATATCTTTCCTGTCTACCTCACAGGGTTGTCATGGTGATTAAATGAGCTAAGGAAAGCAAGAGCTCTTTGTAAATTGTAAAGTGCTATATATAAATAAATAGTTATTGCTATTTGTGCTCCCTGGGGATTTATTATCTAGTGTAATAGTCTAACTTTGTGCTATGAGAAGTAACTCTAGAAAATCTATATGGTGAATCATTGAGAAGTGAGTGAATAGTCAAATTTAGGGATATTCATCCATTTATTTGTTTGCATATGAAATATAATTTGTTTGATTTTTTTGTTTTGTTTTGTTTCATCCTAAAATTATGGGAGGGCAGCGAGGTGGCACAGTGGATAGAGTGCAGGACCTAGAGTCAGGAAGACATGAGTTCAAATCTGGCCTCAAATACTTACTGGCTGTGTGACCCTGAGCAAGTCATTTAATCTTATTTGCCTCAATTTTCTCATTTGTAAAATGAACTGGAGAAAGAAATAGCAAACCACTCCAATATCTTTGCCAAATGGGGTCACGGAGTGTTTGACACAACTGAAATGACCCAACATCATCGACAACAACAACAAAAATATCATGGTTGTCTCCAAGTACCAGTGTTCATATTTCATAGACTCATAGAACGAGGAAGGTACCTCAGAGAGCATTTAGGATCATAGGCTCTAGAGCTGCAAAGAACATTAAAGATCATCCATTAATTTGAAACCAGCTCTTTGTGAGACTAGTGTCAGAGATCAGTTTCCTAACTGAGGTCCCAGAGAGGAAGTAGCTCACCCAAGGTTACACAGGTAGCAAGTTATATAGAGGAGAAGTGAGCCTGGGTTGTCTTCTTTTATTATGCCTTTCTTTCCCCATCTTCCTCTTGTGTTAATTAATGATAGCTAGAATTTATCTGGCTCTTTAGTATGCAGAGCTTTTTACAAACATGATCTCATTTGATCCTCATGACAACCTTGGGAGGTGGGTGCTATTATTATCCCCATTTTACAGATGAAGAAACTGAGGTGTATAGTGGAGAAATGGATTAGCCTAGGGTTGGTCACATAGCTAGTAAGTGTCTGAGGCTGGATTTGAACTTAGATAATAACAATAATACTTATGTAGTACGTACTATGTTTTAGTAACTATGCTGAGTGCTTTACAAATATGTTCTCATTTGATCCTCACAACAACCTTGGGGGGTATGTGCTATTATTACTCCCATTTTACAGTTGAAGAAATTGAAGCAAATAGGTTAAGTGACTTACCCAAGGTCACATGGCTAGTAAGTGTCTAAGACTGGATTTTAACTCATATCGTCCTGACTCTAGGTCCAGCACTCTATCCACTGTGCCACATAACTGCCTCAACTATTACTCATTTTTCTGCCTCCTTAAAAAAAAGTATAATTAACATCACTTAACATTTTCTTTATAACTCAGGCTCCTCATTATGAATATCAATTCTTATACTATGCTATATATCTTTGGGGGCCACTGAGATGTTTGTCATCATATGAACTGGACCCAAACTGCAATATATTTTAAGGTCTTGTTTCTGATTTTTATAGTTTTTCTTTCTCTTCCCTTGCTATCATCTCTTCTGGTTGCTTTTAGTGTTTCTGCTTCCAATAGTACTTCTTCCATATTATTTACTTGTTCTGAGCTGCTGTGATGTGGGAAACCAAGTAGTCAAGCCTGTTAGAATTGTGTCTTAAGTAGGAGTAAGTAGGCTAGGAAATGAAAACCTGAGGAGTACTTTGAGTTAAGGGCAAGAATATTTTTATTTCCCTTCTGGTTGTTCAGATGTTGCTTTAACTTACTGTGCTGTTTTCAGTCTTGTTGTAGAGAGTTAGAGAGTTTCTGGATAAGTAAGGCATTACTCTTTATAATCAAAACATCAATATGATTAACAATGGCTATTTCCAGAGTATCACAGAATCTCAGACCTAGAAGGAACCTTAATAGCCATCTCACTCAGTTTATATCTGAACAAGAATCTCCTCTATAACATCCCTTTTTTTAATTTAAGAAACTTTAAGGAAAAAAATTGAGAATTTTTTTAAATTAAGAAAATTTAATGTCAGTCCCTTCTCTGGATCATAAAAAAGACAGCAGAGGTCTTGCTATTTATAAAGGAATTGTTTTTAAAAGCAAAACTTAAGAAGCTTTCCTAGGGTACTCTCAGGCAATACCAGCTTCCTGAAGGCCTCTACATAGGTCATGAAGCTTTCATAGCCCCAAAATTGTCTCCATCCAGGCATAATACATTAGCTATCCCCAGATTTCCATGCCAGAGAGACTAGCAGAGTGCAGAACTCATGGATGAGATTGGAAATGCAAAATTACATTCAAGTTTGAGTTGCTAGTCCTATGTCTTTGATTTCCTCTTTATCTCTAAGATGTCAAGTTACTCCCACTTATCAAAAGGCAAATTAAAAAGTCCCTATGGGCTCATGACAGCATCCTTACTGCCTCTTCTTGGGAGGGAAACAATTAGAATAAAATAATATGAAAGTATTAGAGACTTTGTAGACCCATAGGGATGATATCTCCAAGTTCATTATCTCCTCCTAGAAGTAAGAAATGAAAGATAACAGTGGTACCAGGTGATTGTGTTTCACAATCTCTTTTTAAATTTATTCCATACCCACTTACTGGGTACAATATTTCATACTGATGCCCAAAGTAGTCTAAGTCATGGGATAGTCAAGGTTACTTCTTCAGGCCTCACGGTTGCTCTGTCTTCAAACATGGTAGTCTTCGCTGTGATACTGAGCCAGTATCAGTTACATTGGACAGACATTCTTTCTTCATAAGCACAAGCTAGGAAGGCTAAAAATTATAGAACTCCATCTCCTGCTTTCACTGAAGCAGGTTCCAGAACAAAGATACTGGCCTCAATAAAAACGCAGGAAGTGCTCTTCTCTCCAAACATTCTGAGAAGTGGTCATCTGACCTTTGCCTGAAGACCTGTAAGGAGAGGAAACCAGCTATCTACGGGGGCAGCTTGAACCATTTTTGGACAGCTCCAGCTGTCAGGAGACTTTTCCTTACATCAGTCTAAATTGGAATCTCTGTGATTTCTGTCCCATTACCCCTAGTTCTTCCCTCTGAGGCCAAACAGAATAAAGAGCATGATATGGAAGCCAAAAGAGTATGAGACCTTAGGGTACCCTGAAGTAGGAACAAAAGCCAAAATATGGGAGGTAGTAGTCTCACTACCCTCTGATCAGACTAGTCAGACTGCATCTAAATATTGTATTCAGTTCTAGTTGCCAAATTGTATCCAGAGGAGGGTAATGGGGGATTGCAGACTGTGCCACATGAATATCAGTTTGATGCTAATAATTATGATGATAATAAGATCTGACATTTATGTAGCATTTTAAAGTTTGCAAAATACCTTAAATATATTATCTTTTTGATACTAACAACAACTCTAGGAGGTAGGTATTACTACCATCCTGTATGACAATCAAAGAAGCTAGGATTGTTTAGCAGTGTTCAAGTATTTGAGGGGCTGTCATGTAGAAAGGGGCTTTGTTTATTTAGTGAATTTGACCTCAGAGAACAGAACTGAGAACAATGGGTGAAAGTTGCAAAGAGACAGATTTTGGTTGAATCACAGGAAAAACTTCCTTACCATTAGAATTATTATTATCTTTTTGGAAGCAATTGGGGTTAGGTGACTTGCCCAGGGCCACATGGCTAGTAAGTGTCTGAGGCTGGATTTGAACTCAGGTCCTCCTGTCTCCAGAGTTGGTGCTCTATTCATTGTGCCACCTAGCTGCCCCAGAATTATTAGAAAAGTGTTCTGCCTGAAGGATTAGTGGAGTCAAACAAAGGCTGAATGGTCACTTGTTGGGGACATTGGAGAGGAAGTTCTATTCAAGTCCATGTTAGATTGGGGAGCATCCTCTGAGGTCCTTTGCAACTTAAAATTCTGTGATTCTATTATTTGCTTTAGCTCCCACAGCTATTAAGTGGCAGAGCTATTTGAATTCAGATTTCCTGATTCCAAGTCTCTCTCTTCCTCTTCGAAGTCCAACAAGCAAAGCATAATATCAACAAAGGATATACTAGACCTCTTATAATAAGCAAAGATGGACGATCACTTATTAAGCATGGTATAATAGAAATTCCTTTCATGTACAAGAGTAGATGGTTGCTGAAGTCCCTTCTAGCTCTAAGATGATGTGATTCAGGAATGTATTTTTCACATTCTTGGCTCGTCAAGAAGGTAACAGACTAGTAAAGAATAAATAACTCTTCATGGTTACAAAGCACTTCACTCAAAGTATTCTTTTTGATCCTCACAATATACTTTTTTTATCCTTTGACTTGCGGATGGAAGCAGAAGTGGAATATCATTCATCTCTTTGTCTCTGAGGATCTTGGTTGCATGTGGCTTTCCTCAGGGAGCTTGGTCTATGACCTTGAAGCTGAGAGTCAGTCCAATGCATTTAACCTGATGTTAGAATCCCAGATTTTGAAGCATAATCAGACTATGATTTGTCCTTAGCACAGAACCTGATATCATTGCCTAGACCTCCCTCAGCTTCAGCTGTTCAGCAATGATGAAATCAGTGAGGCTGTTCATTAAATCTTGGTCACGTCTGTGATTCTTCTTCCACTCCCAACCCTGATGTATTTAGAAGGAATCAAATGGAGTTTATGATTTTGTGGTGATGTTTAACTCCCTAAAGCCAGCAAACAATGCCATTTCTTTTCAATTTTCCAATCCTGAGTAGTTCAACAGTTTCTATCTACACGGCTGCCAACATAGGCACTGACTCATCCATGACAGCTACATCATGAGATGGCAGTAACTGCTTTGTGGCAGTTACACTATAAGCCCACCGCCTGGCACATAGTAGGCACTAAGTAAGTACTTATTGATTTGATAGATTTATTGTGAATTTATCTGTAAAGTTTCTCACTAAGAAAGTTTATGGGACATGTGTTGGTGGTAGCAAAGTTCTGGTTCAGACCTATGTGCTTTTGGGCTGATTGGGGGCCTTTGAGACAAGTGAAAAGTCTGAGTCCTTTTTACTCTTCCAGAAGACTCCACAGTGGGCAATTCTTTCAGTTTATCAGGCTCTACTAAGAACACCAATGTTGGCATCATAACTAGAGATTTTTCTTTATTAATGGCCATTTCCCTTTGGGAAATTGGCATTTCTAGCACCATGTAACCTCTCATGGTTTAGTGTGGAGATTCATACTTTTCTAGGTGCTATTTTATCAGATTGTTCATTGTTCATGAGGCTGTGACCTCAGGAGGTGAAATGTTTCGGGTTTGAGGCAAGGAAATGTTTTTCTTAACTCCATCTGAACATTCTCAAGTGAAAAGTCCACCAACATAGGGAAGCAGCTGCCACCTCCATGGCTGCCATGAAACTGTCAGTGACTATGGAGGGTAAGTGGGTTGAATTAGAGATAGCAGTGCATAAGGAATCAATGTGGACACAGGTTCAGCTTGGAGCTTCTTCACTTATTAGCTCAGTTTTCCCATAGCTGCCTCTTGCCTTCTCTAATTTTCTCATCAGTCTTTCTTCTTTGCCTCACCCCTGTCTAATGCTTCCTCTTCCTTCCTACATGTTTCTTGAGCAGAGCACTGTATGGAGTTCCAGAGGACCAATGGCTCCCTGAATGTGACAGCTGAGAATGCCACCTCTCCTGTCATTGAGTTTTGGGAGTAAGTGAAACCTTGGCCTTGGTGGAGAGGGATATGGGGAGAAGTAGTCACGGTGTCAATTGTTGTTCAGTCATTTCGGTCATGTCTGACTCTCCATGACCCTTTCTTGGGGTTTTCTTGGCAAAGATACTGGAGTGGTTTGCCATTTCCTTCTTCAGCTCATTTTACAAATGAGGAAACTGAGGCAGAGTTAAGTGACTTGCCTAGGGTCACACAGCTAGTCTGAGGCCAGATTTGAACTTACAAAGATGAGTCTTTTGGACTCTCAGCCCAGTGCTCTATCCACTGCATTGCCTAGCTACCCCATGGTGTCAACAGTGAAAGAATAATTCCTCTTTAATTCTTTGTTGGTTTGTTCCCATCATGGTTGACATGGGTCACAGGGCTGTGTCCTTTAGCTCAGCATTTCTCAGGCTTTCTTATGATTTGCTGGGAGATATTGCCTGCTCTGTCAACCCCAACGTGGTTTGTTCATTCTCACTCTTAAACACTACACACATACAAATGTACACACACACACACACACACACACACACACACACACACACACACAGAATAGGGGAAAAATTGTTGGATTTGGAATCGGAAGACCTGAATTCAAGGCCCAGTTCTTCCACTTAATGGCCATGTAACCTTGGTCAAGTCTTTTCCCTTCTACACTTCCGTTCCCTCATTTATAAATGAAGGAGTTAGATTAGACTTCCAAGTTCCATCCCATTTCTTAGACTAATTCTGTGACTCCATGGACTTGAACACATACAAAGTGGGTAAACGCACTCTCTTTCTTTCTCTCTACCTTATGGTTCTGACCAACTCCTCTTGCTTGGCAAGGGAAAAGAGGAGTGAAAAAGCTTCTACTACATGGACCACACCCAAGTCATATTTGCCCAGAGCCAGGACAAAATATGTGTGTAACCTAGGCAAGCTTTGAAAATCACAATCCTACTTGTAACATATGCAACTTGATACCACAAAATAAATACTGAAATATCACAGAAAGCAGGATTTTCTGGCATAAAAGTGTCAAATTCAACCCTTCCCCTTTCATACTAGGCCCTAAGCAGATGCCTATTTCACTTGCCCCTACTTCCAGCTCTGTGTTCACCATTTGTTTGTTTGTTTGTGTGTGTGTTCGTTGTTTTAGGCAATTGGAGTTAAGTGACTTGTTCAGGGTCACACAGTTAGTTAAGTGTCAAGTGTTTGGTCTGAGGTCGAATTTGAACTCAGGTCCTCCTGACTTCGGGCCGGTACTCTATCCACTGCGCCATCTAGCTGCCCCTGTGCTCATCATTTGTTAGAATCAGTTTGATTCCTCAACAAGCATTAATTAAACTCCTGCTATGTGCCTGACATTGTCCTAGGCATTGGAGATACACAAAAAACCCAACAGTTTTTGCCTTCAAGGAGCTTACATTCCATCACTGTGGAACAGTGGGAAAAACACTGGCTTGGGAGGCAGAGGATTTGTGTTCAGTTCCTATCTCTGAGGTTTACTTTTTGTATGACCTTGGGTGAGTCATTTCATGTTGTTGGGCCTCAGTTTCCTCATCTGTAAAATAAGGGGTTGGACTAGATGGCTTCTGAGGTCCCTCTTAGCTCTAGTTCTGTGAGCCCATGTGTACATGAGTGTGTTTGTGTGTATTGGAGACAAGAAGTATGAACATAAGTATATAAAAATAAAATTGTTTCAAAGTACTAGCAGCTGAAGGGATGAGGAAAGGCCCCATGTGAGGCACATGAGCTTTGGAGGAAGCTAGGGATTCTAAGAGTTGGAGGTGAGGAGGGGGTGCATTCAGAACATTCTAACACATGGTTGGGGAATAGAGTTTTAGACCCTTCTTCCTAGCTTAAGACAATAACAACCCCCTTCCTCTCCCAGCTCCCCCTGGACCTTGCCTATGGTGAAGTTTGCATTTGTCCCTCTTGACCTCCCAGTTCCCTGCCTTTCATCTGGGCAAAGGAGACCCCTGTGGATGCCTGGGGGACCACAGCTGGTGACCTCTGTGATGAATCCTTGGGTTAGATAGAGTTCATGTAATTGAGCTGTTGTTCTGAGGATGGGGGCTGCAAAACTTGATGGGTCATCCAAAACTGGAGCCAGGGTCAACTTTTCTCTCCACAGGAGGCGGGTCCTAAAAATCTCTGAAGGGATCCAGCACCTGGGGAGCCTGCGGTGGGAGCTGGCCCTGTGCCTCCTGCTCGCCTGGATTATCTGCTACTTCTGCATTTGGAAAGGAGTCAAGTCCACGGGCAAAGTAGGCGTCTGAGGAGTTCCCATACTCTTCAACTTTAGGATTCATTGCCTTTGTTTTAGAGCAACCAGATGTTCATCAGGCTATAGTTTGGAGCAGGGGTTCTTATCCTGGGGTCCACAAATAGATTTCAAAGAATCTGATTACTTGGATGGAAAAAAATTACATCAATATGTAACTAATAAATCTCTACATAATTATATAATCTATAGTTTATATAAACTATATAATTGTATCATCTGTATAATTAACTATATAATCTATGCAAACTATACTTTAATCTATATAAGCTATATAAATATATCATCTATATAATTAACTACATAATCTACACAAACCATACTTTAATCTACATAAACTATATAAATATATCATCTATATAAACTATATAAATATATCATCTATATAATTAACTATATAATCTATACAAACTATATATAGACTATATAAATGTATCATCTATATAATTAACTATATCATCTATACAAACTATATTTTAATCTATATAAACTATATAAATATATTATCTATATGATTACATCATACAAATTATATATATAAACTAGATAACTATATCGTCTATATAATTAACTACACAATCTATACAAGCTATACTTTAATCTAATAAACTATATAAATATATCATCTATATAATTAAATACATAAGTCTATACAAATGATACTTTAATCTAGATAAACTATATAAATATCATCTATATAATTAACTATATAATCTCTATAAACTGTACTTTAATCTACATAAACCCCCATATAAATATATAACCTATATAATTAACTAACCTCTAACTGAAATTTAGCATTTCCTCCAATTATTTAAAAAACGTTATTCTGAGAAAGGGGTCCATAGGCTTTATCAGACTGCCAAAGTCTATGACACGGAAAGGTTAAGAGCTGTGGTGTAGAGGCTACAGATACCTTTACCTTTGCCATCTCCCTTCTTCCAAGTTCTATGACTTTCTCCACTCTGTGCTACATACTTTTGGTGGAAGAAAATAAGGTCATTGATAATTAGGAGAATTAGAATAAAGCAAAAAAGAATACCCTACAAAGGAATTCTAACTTGCATACTGCTTGAGGATATACCACATAGGCTGTGTAAGTACAATTTGTACACAGTTTACATACCTCCCCTTTCCTTAATAATAGCCCAACTTTAAGATTTAGAAAACACTTGTTATACATTATCTCAGTTGGCTGTTGCAATAATTCTAAGACAAGAGGTATTATTATTCCCATGTCATGGAAGATGAAACTGAGGTTTAGAGAAGCTGAGGGCTTACCTAGAATCGCAGGGTTGGTGGGGGTGCGGAGGGCAAAGATCAAAATTCTATTCCAGGTCTTCTTCACTCCAAGTCTAGCAGACTTTCCACTACCTGAAACACATTCCTTGTAAAATCCCCAGTAGAGATCCTTAACCAGCCCCCTGACCTTCTGGGAACCAACTGGAAAATTGAGGGGAACTGTCTACTCCGCAATGAGTGAGGTATCAGTAGGTATTTTGAGTCTGTGAAACACTTTCTATTTAGGGCACCTGTGTAGGTCTTTTCCCCATCTGGGTGCTTGACTGTCCTAAACCTTTGCTGCAGAGGAAGGGACATAATATTAACAGTCCCAGTTACATCAGGATTTAGGAATTTGGAAGGTGGCCTTGCTTACAATCTTGTGTCATGTCTTTTCGTACTCCATGTTGTCTCGCAAGACAGTGAATTTTAGGAGAAAAAGGATGAATGAATGGAGCTGGAGAGGAGAGTTATAGAGGAAAGCTGATGGATGCCTGAGTCCTTTCTAGAAAGAGAGCAAAATGTGGAGGAAAGGTAGCAGGAGAGAGAAGGGAGATTGATCTGAGCAGCTGTGAGGCATGTGGGGAGGGAACAGCTGAAGGGGGAACCTCTTTGCCCTTTCCCATGGGGAAGATTTCCTTGCCCCTTCTCTCCAAATGTCCTAGGGTCTCTTTCCTCACTTCTTTGCCTGCTACCTACCTGACTGTCTTTGCTTGAAAACCTCCTCATTTTACCCCCTCCAAACTGATGTCTTCCCTTATTCCAGGTAGTATACTTCACAGCTACGTTTCCATACCTCATGCTGGTGGTCCTGTTAATCCGAGGGGTGACTCTGCCTGGTGCTGCCCAGGGCATCCAGTTCTACCTGTACCCGAATCTCACCCGTCTATGGGATCCCCAGGTAAGGAGCCGCAAGGAGGGGAAATCATTCGGCTTAAGGCATGCAGGTGCAGGAATCTCCATGCCCATTCTGGGCCATCCAAAGGTTGTTTATCTATTCTTGGGGATTACCTTCCATTTACTTTCTTGGGTCTTAAGTTGCTTAGGAAGTGGTGTCTGGAATCTTCCCTTTTCTGATTCATAGCTGCCACAAAGCCTGGAGGTTTGGATTAACATTGGTAAATCCCTTGGAAACCATGACTTTGTTCTTTGACAGCTGCTTCCTCTTCCCTCCCCTTATGCCATTCTTCTCTTTTGATTTGACATCTCCCTCCTTCCCCTTTCTCCTCGACTTCCCATTCTCTGGGCTATTTCTTTCTGTCATTTGATCCATTCCTACATTCCAGGGGCCTTGATCTCCTCATCTCCCCCTTCCTGCTGGGCTCTACTCACAGCCACTTTCCCCTTACACTGGCAATTCCTGCTCTTGTGACCTCCAAATTAGAGGCTGCTTTCAGTTCTCTCTGGCACAAGATATGTTATTCTGTAATAAATACCATTCACGCCTGTCTTTTTCCCTGCAGGGTGCAGGGAGGGATGGAGGGAAGGCAGCCTTAGTGGAAAAAAGCACCTCCAAAGGAGATTAAAGGGTCCAGGCAGGAGGGGACTGAGAAAGGGTTCAGTGCAGATCTCTGTGGCCTTCTTATTTAACTGTTTTTTTTAAATAGATTTTATCTGTTGTTCTGAGGTGCCATCGGGGTGCTTATAAAGCAGATGGGCTGTAGGGGGCATGGTGAAAGTCAGACGCCATCCTCTAACCCCCTCACTTTTAGCTGGGTCCAGGTTGCTGTCTTGTCCCCCTTTTCCTGTCTCCTCAGTTTCATCAGGAAGGCAGAGGAAAGCTCATGAGCCTGATTTACAGCCTCAGTGGTTCATGCTTTGAGGCTGACTGACAGCTGGGGGCTATGTCTTACACTTTGTAACACCTACTGCAACTAGTACAGTGTTACTCCCATTCACTGAGAGTAGTCACTTGATGAATAACATGGATTAATTTGGTGTTGTTGTAGTTTCTCCTTTGTTCTCCAAGAGGAGCTTGACATCAGGAAGGAGATGTCATGACTTGCAAGTGAATTGGATTTCAGTGAGGGAGGGCTGTGCACAGTCACCAGCCTCACTCTCTCCTCTATCTGGGTCTCTTGGCAAGATATAGATCAGGACAATTAAAGATAGCCCTGGACAAAGTGGGGGACTTAGCCCTTTTTTAAGCTAAGGTCTTTCCTAGCTGTCAGTTTGTCTGAGGCAAAGCCTATTCGGTGATTAAGGCTAGGTAAAAAATGAGGCAAAGAACAGCCTCTTTACCTAGTGAAACAAAATAAAATCAATCTGGGAGGGGAAGACCCTCTGAGTTTCTGGCCAAAACAGAAACAATTGTTATTTACATTCACTCTGAGCCATCAGAATCTAAACAATGATGAAGCTGAGGCTTGGGCTGAGACCTATTGTTGGCCAATCAGTGAGAGCTATAGTGATTTGGGTATAAAGCATGGTCCATAAAAAAGAAATCTAACCCATAAACCCCAAGATATCTTTCTAGGTTTCAGCAATCATCATTTATATTCCTTTGGGCAGAGTACCCAGAGGCAAGGGTATGATTCCCTATCTGGAAGAGAGAGAGGAAGAAGAGGGAAAGAAGGAAGGAAGGAAAGAAAGAAAGAAGGAAGGAAGGAAGGAAGGAAGGAAGGAAGGAAGGAAGGAAGGAAGGAAGGAAGGAAGGAAGGAAGGAAAATAGGTAGGCACTGGGGCAGCTAGGTGGCGCAGTGGATAGAGCACCGGCCTTGAAGTCAGGAGGACCTGAGTTCAAATCCAGCCTCAGACCAAACACTTGACAACTTACTGTGTGACCCTGGGCAAGTCACTTAACCTCAATTGCCTAAAAAAAAAAAAGAAAAGAAAAGAAAATAGGTAGGCACTGAGTTGCCCAACTGGAACTGGCCAGTTGGATCCCCAGTGGGGCAGCTATTACTACTCACAAGTTGTTGTTTGTCCTTCCTTCTCAAAGAGGACTATGATGTCAGGAAGCAGATGTCATGACTTGCAAATGAATTGAATTTTAGTGAGGGATGGCTGTGATTAATTTATTGTTGCAGGGAATCACCTGTATCATTTTTTCTTGCTACTCACATCTTATCACCTTCCAAGCTTGCTGTATGCAGTGCAATGAACATGAACCATCCAAATACTTTGAGAACATCAGAAAGAAGGCTTTTGGGAGTCGTTTCAATTTAATTCAAGAAAAATGTATGAAGGGGGCAGAGCCAAGATGGCAGAGTGAAAGCAGTGACTTGCTTCAGCTCCCCCCCAAACCCCTCAAAATACCTATAAAAATGGCTCTAAACAAATTCTAAAGCAGCAGAACCCACAAAAAGATAGAGTAAAGCAAATTTCCAGCCCAAGACAACCTGGATGATTGATCAGAAAGGTATATTGTGCCAGGCTGGGAGTGGAGCACAGTTTGGCTTGGGCACACAGGCCACAGCAAACCTGGAGCAGGCCTCAGAGGAATGAATCGCGGGCAGCTGTGGTGGTTTCCAGACTTTTCAACCCACAAAAGCCAAAGACAACTTAGAAGGACAATGGGAAAAGTCTGTTACTGAGGTTCTGAGAGAGGAGCTAGGTCTCAGAGCCAGTTCCAGAATGCAGAGCACAGAGCGCAGGCCCTGGGGTGGTGGCTGTGTCCTGAGCTTCCAGCCCACAGACTGAGGGGGAATCAAATGGCCTATCAGAGGGGGATTTCAGGGATCTCTTTGCCAGTGCTAAGGCAGGAATCTCTTGCTTTGCCCGTGCTTGAATCTGGGTCACAGTTCTGGACGTTGGTCCTGGGGCAAGGAGGAGCGCTTGTGTGGTAGAGCTTGTAGTGGCTGTGGAGAAGAAACCTTCCTCACAGTTCCAGGACAGAAGGGAGTGCTTGTGGTCACTATTAGACCAGAGCACAGACCAGGAAAGGAGTAAACACCTCGCCCCTTATCATACCACCTTGCAAGAACTGAAAATTTACAGGTCCCTACAAGTATCTCTGAAAACAGCTGTACAAACCCCTAAAGCTTGGGCCAATACATTCTCCACATTGGAAGCAGATTCTTACCTTAACAAAGAGACTAAAACTCTAGTAATTGGCCGGGATCATGAGCAAGCAGCGCAAAAAGAGTCAGACTATATTATCTTACTTTGGTGACAAAGAAGATCAAAACATACAACCAGAAGAAGACAAAGAAGACAAAGCTCCTACAATCCAAAGCATCCAAGAAAAATATGAATCAGTCCCAGGCCTTGGAAGAGCTCAAAAGGGATTTTGAGAAGCAAGTAAGGGAAGTAGAGGAAAAACTGGGAAGAGAAAAATGTATGAAGTGCCAAGTATGTGAAAGCAGTTTTGCGAAGTGCTGGTCATACAAAGAAACAAAACAAAAACCAGAGCCTGCTTTCAAGGAGATGGCACTCTACCTTGAGTAGGAAGAGTAGTGTTTGAGGTGATCAAGAAAGACTTCATTGAGGACTTGGTACCTGAACTGGGATCTGAAGGAAGCTGAGGGTTCAAAGAGGTGAGAGTGAAGAAGAATGCCTTCTTGGAATGCTAGACAGCCTGTGGAAAGGTAGGAAAACAGGAAATGGAATGATAAATTTGGAGAATGGCAGTAGGTCTGTTTGATCAAAAGGAGAAATATTAAATAAGTCTAGAAAGGTAGCAGGGAAATTGTGGAAGCCTAAAGTGTTAGGAAATCCTGGTGAGGAAGCAGTATTTCATTCTAGAAGCAATAGAGAGCCACTGAAATTTTTTTGAGCAAGAGAATGGCATTCTCAAAACCTGTGCTTTAGGAAGACTGCTTTGGCAACCATGAGGAAGATAGATAATAGAGTAAAGATCATGGCAGTAGGGATACTAATAAAGAGACTATTAGTGTAGTACAAGTGAGGAGTGATACAAACTTGAACTAGAGGGGTATAATGTGGGTAGAGAGAAGAGGACAAGAAATGCTGGGGTGGTAGAAATGATCATTCTTGCCACCTGATTGGATGACGGGGATGGTCAAGGATGACTCAAAAGTTGTGAACATAGGTTACTAGAAGGGTGGTGATGTCCTTACAGAAACAGAAAAAACTGTGGGAAGGATGAGTTAAAAGGATAAAATGAATTCTAATTTGGAAATGTTGAGATGGAGATGCTGATGGGTTATCGAGACAGAGATGTCAAACAGGAAGTAGGGAGGGCACTAACAATTTGGGAAGGGGGGAATCAGGAAAGGCCTCTTACAGGAGGTGGTGCCTGAGCTGTGCACAGCCCTCCCTCACTCAAATCAAAGTCAATTGCAAGTCCTGTCATCATCTCCCTGATGTCATGGTCCTTTTCAAGAATGAGGGATAAACCACAACTTGTGAGGAGTCCAAGTTGCTTGAATGGGGACTCAGCTGGCCAGTTCCAGTTGGGCATCTCCTCTTCTCTCCTCCCCATCCCTCCCCTCCTTTCCCCTCTCCTTTCCTCTCTTCTTCTTGTAAATTTTGATGACCAAAAGCTACCTAGTTAGCTTGGAGTCTACTGGCTAGTTTTCCTTTAAAGACCAAGCCTTGAACCCAGTTCACTCTAGATGTCGGATTGGACAATAGGTCCCTGCCCAAACATCACTTAATGGTTATTTTTGGGGGCCCTACAGGTACAGAGTGAATGTAAATAGTAAAGGTTTCTCTTTTGGCCAGCAACCCTGAGGGTCTTCCCCTCCCAGTTTGATTTTTTTTTTTTTATTAAAGGGGCCATCCCTTGACTTAAATAGGCCTTAAAGAGGCCTATTCACAGAATGGGCATTGCTTTACTCAAAGTGAGAACCTGAAAAGATCTTGGCTTGAAAGGGCCAAGGTCTCCTTCTACATCCTGGCCTGATCCATATCCAGCCACAGAGCCCAGATGGCTCTGAAGTCCTTGCACAGCCCTCTGTCACTCAAATCAAAGTCAATTGCAAGTTATGTCATCAT